TGAAGTGCTTTATCCACTGGCACACTGGGAAATAACGATTTCACGTCAAACGACACCAACACCTCATCATCTTGCACCTCCTCATTCTCCAGGGTTTTCGCTAGCTCAATCGAGTTTTTCACACTCCTTGTTTCATATGCTTCCAATGCCTTAAATCTGTTCAATAACCATTTGGATAATTTATAGAACGGGCAATCCCTGCAATTGATGATGGGCCTAATATCTTTACCCGGTTTGTGAAGTTTTGGTAGACCATACATGTAAGGAAACTGCTTGTTATCACTAGTCAAGTACTTAGCTTCATTCACTGTCATCACTGTAGTACTTTTTAACGCCTCTCGAACTTCCTTTTCGTAAGTCCGTATTGGATCTTTTTTAACTTCTTCAAATAAACTAGTTTTTAGGGCATTTTCACATCTTTCTATATAATCTTCTTTATCTAAAACTACCACATTATTGCCTTTATCCGACTTTGTGACCATAAGATTTTTCCTTTTAATTGATTTTATTGCCCTTTCTATTTTTACATTAGATTTAATAACCTGGGTTTTTTTGGACTCCTGATTTATTTTCTCCATGATCGGCATACAGGCTTTGCGAACTTCGGTTTTTTCCAGTTCAGATTTACCTTTAAGGGCTACTTCTATGTCCACTATAAAATCGATGGGTTCATTTGAATGTCTGAAACAACTCTTTAGACCATTTCCTAGCAATCTTAGCTCACTGGTGCTCAGTTTCTTCCCGGATAAATTAATCACTTCACTGGTGTCTTCCTGTTTTTTAACATGGCACAACTCACTTTCTCCAGAATTTGTAATCTTTCCTGGTAATTTGGCAACACTGCTAGCTTTTATATGTTTATCTTGCAACAGTTTTTGCTTTTTTCTCCTCAACCCAAATTCCTTTTTGCTAATTTCATACTTTGTTCTTTCAATGATTAAACGATCAAGATTACACCATAACTCGTAGTCTATGACTTTCATTAGACATAGGTGTCTCTCATAATTGTCTGCTTCCAACTTGGCCCTTACTCCATATTTAACAGAAATTTCCTTTTGCATAATTTTCCTTTCTAAAAACCTCCTGTGTTGTGCCGTTGGTCTGATTATCTTATTTACAAAACGAGGGCATATATTGTGGTGCAAACAACTTTTCAAAAAATAAATGTCAGAGGTAAGTAGTTTGATTTTCAACTTCGTGTTGTAGTAGAGGTATATTAAAGATCTCTGACCTGCGTCTGGAAGAGCTCTGATTAACGTGCTTAACTCTTTGTTGTGGTTACGTGGGGCCTGGGCGCGGTGAATGTATGGCTCGTCCTTATCACTTATCAACGGAATGGAGGCTGCGGCTTCATGAAACATAACCTTCTCTGGACTGGTACCGTCCGTCGTCACATTTGTTGAAACTCCCGAATGCTTTGACGCGTCCCGGTTATTTTATACAATTTTACGCAAGTGAGTGTGTTTTATCTTTGTGTTTTTTAAATAATTTTTTTTAAAGAATTTCAACTTGTGTAGTTCCCTAATGGTATTAAAAGAGAATTGATGTCCGTCTTGTGCTCCAGATTTTTGCTTTATAATGTTTGCCAAACTGAAGCAGAGAAATTTTTCAAGATATTAAGTTAAAATTTCGTGTCAGATTTCCAGAAAAAGCCTTCATGGTGACTTATTTTTTCTGGAACTCACCATCTCTTGAATTTGCAACCTAGCTGCACAATTATTAATGTTAATTTTTGAAGACACCTCAGAAGAGTGGTCCAGTGTTCCATTTTCTACCTCATGGTTCCACAAGAAAGTGGTTGGTGTGTTGGCGACTGAATATTTGAATTTATTGCAGTCTTCCACAATTTGATAAAAAAAAGCTTTACAGAATAAGGGAAAAGCTTATCAAGGCACTTAAGAGGTGCACCTTAAAAGTCTGCAAGAGAAGCAAAATGTAGGTATTTAGGTATGACAAAGCTGAGAAAAAATGATATATACTTACTTATTTCGCTCACCTGTCAAATACATTTTTCAGTACCTGGAGGCATACATGAGGAATATTAGAAATCTCCACAATAACTCCTCAGCAGTAAAAGAAATGGATTTTGCTGAAGCTGCGATGGTGATTCAGAATTCACTGATTACCTTTGCCAAGAATATCGACTATTGACTCAATTTGGGCAAGAGCTATGAGCATACGGCTTGCTTTATCTGCTAACATAAAGTAAGTGATCAAAGTATTTTCTCAGGGTCTTAACTCTTTCAATAGGCGCTAGATGAAGATTCTCCATGTACATCCCACAAACCAAGTTAGGAAAAATATATTGGCAAAACATGGCAGTCTGAGGCGCTTTAAGGCCCTCTCTCATGCCTAGATGTGTCCGCCGTCTGTCATTAATATGATGCAATTGCAGTTCATATCTTCACCAACAGAAAGTCTATGAAGCCATGCTTAGAAAGCGGATGTCAAGTTGTTAAGCTTTTAAGCTTTGGGAAAATGACGTTCGAAGTTTTCATAGCTGTGCACCTTTGCGTCTGTACAGCAAAAAGGGTTTCGTTAGGAAAATCATTTTAGACAATAGAGCAAATCTTTTTCTAAAAAATGAGCTCCAGGAATTTAAATTTAAAGCAAATTCCATGGAAGGGCTTGGAAAACAAGGGGGCTGAGAGCAGCTTTTGAAAAATTTTAGATATTAATGGTTTAAACTAAAACTAGTCCTAGAATATATTCTGTGAAGAAGCCACTACCAAAATCCAATTTTTAAGCGTCAAAAACTGAGTTAGAACTTTCTCTCTGCAACAAGGCTCCATCCTACTTTGAACTTTTCAAAACCTACTCTTGAAATAGCAAAATCTGCTCTTAGCCCACTTGTCATCCAAAGGCCTCAATTGAGATTTTTAAAAAAATGACCACATCTCCTGTTCTTACGTAAATCTATTTTGAAGACATAAAATTAACTACTTATCTAATGTAAAAAAGGGAAAGTGCTTTTAATTAATCAACGTATGATAACTGTTGAGTTTTTCAATGATTTTTCCAAGGAACTAAGTGTTTGGTAACTTTCAAATTGGACACAAGAGTCAAATTATATTATTGATCTCCTGAAGTAGGGAAAAAATTGGAGAGGGTGCCATCCTACAGACACCTATATGCAACAGTCTTATTTATGTTTATTACTAGGTACTTTAATGTGCTTTTTTTCACTATCATCAAGGAGATCAATGAGCTTTGTTAAGATGAACAGCGAATTCCGACGCCCTCTTTTTTTTAGGTATAACATGGTTTCATATTTATATCTTAATAGAAAATTATGCAAGAAGTCTGAAACTTGGCACCAACCGTTGAGGGTTCATAGATTCCATTAAATTGTTCCATTAAAGAGAGATCGCAATGCACAAAATGGTGGATAGGTTGACACGATGGTTCTATTGAAAGGGTTAAATTAAAAACACGGTTTTCTTTGAGAATTTCGTTAAATCCAAGACATTTTTTGTTACATTTGTCGAGGATACTTGGTAACCTCATATTTATTCTTTTCTACCGAAAAAAAATAACTATGATGAAGACAATGAGGATTGTGATGTTGGAACTGGTGAAGAAGGTGCGAAGCACAAAGAAAAAGCTAAGAAGAAGAAAAAGAGAACATTTAATGTTGAAGATTTTCAACTCCTTCCTTTCCTCAATACTGGTGAGTGTGAGATTGTAGGACATGTAATCCTTTAACCAAAATTTGGCAATACTTCTTGAAACTCCCTTGACTTTAGAACTCTAACAAAGAAAATTTAAAGGTGTATCACAAATTCTAGCCTCTGTCTTCAGGGTTACATAAAGTAAGGGTGCTAAAAATACCTTATCTGCGAATCGCAACAAACAAGGCAAATCTTGGGTTGAGGGGCAACTTGCGGGAGTGATGACCCCTATTTTTCTCTCTTTTTAGCCCTTGCTTATTTTTCGAAAGTCTAGAAAACCTGGAAAGTCAAAGAATATACAGTTATCCAGGAAAGTCAGGAATTTAGGGAACTCCTGGAAAGTATCAGAATATTGCAAATAGCGCATCTGCTTAGCAACTTCAGCTAGTGCCACTCGAGAGAGTGGAAACAATTTTGTAGTGTCCTTTCCCGTCAATTAACTGATCGAATTCTCTATCATTCCATCAGTCAAACTGTCTATTCATTAACTTGTTAGATTAACCAGTCAAATTGTTTTTTGAGCAACCAATCAAATTCTCTGTCAATCAATAAGTTGGATCATCTGTTTCATTGACTAGAAGTCTCTCCATTGGCAAGGCAAATCATTTGTCTATGGACCATTCAACTCCTCTTTTGATCTATCAGTTGAATCTTCTTTTGATCGATAAGTCAAATTTTCTATCAATGGAACTTCCGATCCTAATCAATTTACCTTGTTTTTTTATTTTTCAGATAAAAATATTGATATGAAACTAGACAAGAAAGAGGATAAACTAGCAAAGCAATCAGATAAACTTGTCCTCCCCACCTCCTTGAACACCAAAAGTGGTTAATAAATCGAGAGATATTTTCACTTCTGAAGGAGAAGCAGTCTGGAAAATGGATGAATTCAGGTATAGACTATTGTTTTTCCTACAATACCAACTTGTATGATTAATAGTAAATGTGTCTTCTATTTCAGAGCAGCCACTGTTAGTAAAAATATCAGGAAAAATTACGAAAATCGGTCATGAATCAGAAAATTCCGAGTGTGTCAAGCATTCTTCAACTATTTGCCGTTTAGCACATGGAAAAGTGAAACATTTTATTCAGTTCATTACATATGTTGGTTTTTGTAATTAGACAATTATCGATTCATTCAGGTAAAAAATCAGGAAAATCCAAAATGTAATTTTAGCAGATACATTGTTTTCGAAATGTTTTAAAGTCTCACAAAACGTTGATCTTCCGATAGATCTGCAGGAAATTGCCAAACTTCATCCAAATACTTCTTTTATTACACATTTTTTTAATTAATCTTCAGGGTTTTCGGCGTTCAAGAAAACCTGAAAAGTCTAAGACTTTGGCAAGTAGCGTTGGGATAAAGGGATATTTGGAATGAGAACAATTCTTTTGCAGTGCAGATTCATTTAATAAGGGTGCACCAGAGGTTATGAAAAAACTAAAAAGAGCTCAGCTGATATTATACGTATTAATTTTTGCTCTCACGGCATTGCCATATTTCAACTCGCCTCCTCAAAAATTAATTCCATTATGAATAGATGCTAACTGGGAACAACATACAGGTCCAACATTTGTTGCAACGGATGAGGGAAACCCAGAAAAACCTCACCAGACCTTATTTTAAAACAAACATCACAAATAGAATTTTCTCGACGAATTTTCGACGAACTTCAAATTTTGATCTCGCTGAAGTCTGAGTCCCGGTCTCACAATCAGTTTCTTGAATTTACAAACAGACACAGGTTTTGTTAACAAATCATCCAGTTGATTACCTGTAGGAAAAATATTTTGCATCAATTACTCTTTTAACAATCTGCTCCCTATAATATGATATTTATCATCAATGTGTTTTGATCTTTCGTGGCTTTTTTAATTCTTTGCAATACTATTGCAATCTTAGTGATCCGTCTCTCACTTCAAAATTATTTCAGTATTTCCATTTTAACTTCGTCATGTCGATGGCATTACTGTCCCTATAATAGTTTTTAATTTAAGTGCTCAGAAGTCAAGATTATCATAGAGGTTTCCTCCATTTTACTTTCACATTCTCTTCTGTTTCAAGCACGCGTCACGTCTAGAGTTTGAGTAAGTTTTGTGGACTATACACAAATCATTTGCTTTTGAGTCACTCACAAGACTTTTAATTTCCTTAACTCGGTTCCTTTTCCAGAGTTAACTAAACAAGAACAGAGATTCCATCCTCTATTCATCCATCTCCACATGGGTCTCGACAACACCCTGTTTTCTTCACTAGAGAGCTAGACATCCATTCTCTGAGCTTTTACTTATCTCAGTTGACGCTCGTGGTTCCTCATGAAGTTCTGATTTTGACTCACAGTCAGATGCATCAGTTTTTCTTGCATGGGATCTGATTTTGACTCACAGTCAGATGCAGCAGTTTTTCATCTCATGCTCTACAGCCACAGAGCACTTTAACATACGTCTAGGTTCTTTGTCTCATCGACAATTACTATACTCCGAGACAAACATTTTCTTTTTCACATCCCACACTTTATATCCATTTGTGAAATGCCTCATATAATTTTACTGCAATAAACATTACACAAGCTTTATCCATTACGGCTTTCACCATTCGCTTAGTGATGCCATTTTACTGCTGGGTTCGTGGATTTTTGGTGACTCAAACAAAGCGTGATACCTTTCTGGACACAAACTGTTTAGTTTCGTTTCAAATTTAATTTCTATCATAAACACAGTATACAAGAAAACATGCCCAATTCAAACCAAAAAAAAAAAAAATGCTGAGATTCTCGCAATGTAATTTTTGCGACGAGATTTGGACGTCACTTGTCGTGCTCTTTCTATCGTTTTCATCTGTTGCTCAATCAGAATCACAGTGACCAACAATTCAATTAGGTCAATTGGACAATTAGGTCAATTTCAAATTCCTTGAGCCTTTTAGGTATCTTAACACCCTTATTTAAGTATTGCCACAAGATCTTATTGTTCTTGCTTGTATATCTGCATAAAAGACTTATTGCAGCGCACAAATCAGGTCTTGTGCATATCATTATGTACATCAAACACCCAATGAGGTTCTGAGAGGGTGCGTCGTTCCCTTCAACTATACTAAGTTCTACCAAATCTAATTTACTCGGAAGTGGGAATGTCAACGGCACTACAGTCAGCCATATTAAACTTCAAAGTTAAAATCCCGTTGCATCTCTCAACTCCAATTCCTAGAAATTCAGCAAAATTTGCAAACTAAAGTGCATTTTAAAAGGAGGTCTAATTTGTCATGATTTCCATCTTTAAATCGTCAAGGATAGGCAAATTTTACTATTTTTGCAACTCACATAAATTATCATTTTGTGCGATAAGTTTTAAATGAGGCCAGTACGCGCACATATTCAACGATCTTTCAACTCGATAGTAAATTTTATTATCTCACTCTGTGTATGGCTCTCACTATCAAACATTTTTCTTGTCGGAATAATGACCAGTAATGTCTCATCAATATTATAATTCAGAAAAGGCTTACCACAAAAGACAACGATACTTCCCTTAAAAATGTTGTCTTCTATTTTGACGAGATTATCTTTCATTATCAGCTTTCCAAATTTTGGTATTGATAACCAATTTTATGGTAATTCAGGGCAGAACCAAACGTCTTCCAAAATAGTTTTGAGACCAGACTCCATGACGCATGTTTATCCAGCCATTTATGTCTTCTCAGTTGTCGTCATTCTCCATCTTATATTTTTGCATTCACTATTTGGGATCAGCAAACTCAAAAAAAACGTCGCACATCTAATTTTCTGTTACTAATATTACTGGAATGCTCTTCAATCCCAGCACAAGTTGAACTTTTCACTTTCTGTATCGCCAAGCATCGACTGTTTTCTCAATCGCTTATTGCAGGAATTCATGTGGCGATGATTTACCTTTCAATCATCTAAACATTCACATCCATCACATTTTCTTGATTAACAGAATTTCTGAATTCTAACCTTCCAGACACTGCGTTTTTCCCTGTCAAAGGCCTGTATAATATTTTACGGATTTTAGGTCCATTTTAAGAGTACGGGCGAAATGCTTTACACTAGTAAGTATTATAAGAATACACTGGGCTCATAACCCGTTGGGATAAAGGGATATTTGGAATGAGAACAATTCTTTTGCAGTGCAGATTCATTTAATAAGGGTGCATCAGAGGTTATGAAAAAACTAAACAGAGCTCAGCTGATATTATACGTATTAATTTTTGCTCTCACGGCATTGCCATAATTCAACTAGTAGCGCATCAGCTCAGCAACTGCAGCCGGCATTATTTTTAGAGAGTAGGGACAACTTTCAAGTGCCTTTTTCTATAATTTAAATCTAAGTGGAAATTTCATGCAAAATTTACCAGCAGTCAGTGTAATTCTAAGGGAAAAAATCTAAGACGTAGTTTTGTCCAAAGATCAGGGAAAAACAGGGAATCACAAAATTCTGGAGTCACAAAAAAGCCAAAAAAGTCAGGCAAATGAAACAGTTATGAGATCCCTTTCCGCAAAATCATTCAGCCTCGATTTTTAATCTACAATTTTGTGAGAGTTTATCGATGTTTTTATTGACACCTAAACTATGTTAACAAATCCTCTGCTCTTCTCCAGCTCATTTTATTTATTTTTTGAAGAAAGTAATTTTCCCAGATTATTCTGTTCATTGAAAGACTTCGGCGATTTTAAAGAAAGTCACATTCATGAGTTTTCACCTTTCAGCTCCAAATATTTTTCCATCTATTGTCTCAATTTATCGCTCAAGTCTGACACATTAAAATTACCCTGAGTAATCCGTGATTGTTTGTCCTTAGGGTCGATTATCTAGTTCATTTTATTATACTCCACCTCTTTTTTCCCTAGATTATTTTGGCCCATTACGGAAAGCGGTTACCTTCAAGAAGATTATGAACCTGAAGATCGGTGTGTGTTTCCTGAAAGAATCATCAAACAAAGTTTTACAGGTACAAAATACATTTTCATCCCTTGAACTGTCGAATCAATCATTATAAAAACAATCTACATATCTCCTCTTGCCTAAAAACTGTTCCACGCACCTATTTTAATGTCAAATCTTGAAATCATCAACTCTTTGGAGTTTGACCTAAGTTGAGAACTTAAAAACTCTTTTGAGCTGATAAAAAAATGAAAATTAATCAATTTATGGCCAAAGACCAGATGAGGTGCTCTAATGTGGTGGCCCTAAACAGGGCCGTTGGAAATGGGGCAAGCCGGCCGGCTGCTAGGTGTCCGCTGGGTGTGAGATGAGATCTGTGCGGATGACGGGAGCGGAGTTACCAGAGTCGGTGTGGTCACGGCATATATAGCCGTAGTTGAGACTGCGTCGGCCAATCAGGAGCGAGCATGAGCTGCGTCGCTAGAGGTGACCGGTGATTGGCCGCCACAAATTCTTTTAGAGTTGTAAAGAAATGTTTAGGTTAAAGAGTCAAGTTGTTTTTTACACAGCTGATTTTATTGCGTAATTTTGATCTTGAACTATTGGCTTGAAATAAAATATTTTACGGTAGATGTTCAATCATTGAAGATGAGTGATTTGCCTCTCATTTAGTTTTCCCAAGAATTAAACGCGGTGCATTTTACTTTTGCCGAAAATGATTGTATCAAAGTTTAGAGTTTGGCTGCAATCATGTCCGTCTACAGTAGCGCGCTGTCATGTAAAGTTCATTTTTGCAACTGCTGAACTCACAAGATTTCTCAAAAAAAAAAAAAAAATGTTGTATGATACATTGAACACAAGTGTAAGTAATGCAGTAAGTGCCTCCGCAAATAATGTTCAATACTATGAAGTTTTTTTAAAGAATTTTTACTGCATTTTCACTCTGTTATCTATATTAATATAAGCGCCACTCCACTGACTGATCTCTGTATCTCTGGATCGTTTGATTGGGATGTTCCCTTTTTTGGCATGAGGGCTCCTTGGGGGCTGGTGACACGAGATAAGCGGCATTTTCCCTAGGGATGCATTCCACCCCAAGTTACACAGGTACATAAAAGGATCGTAAAGGAGGTAGTTCGGGAAGGATCTTAGACCTATGGATCTTCGACTCATCGATTTTCAATCCATTGATTTTTGATCGATCTTCGACTTATCGATCCTCTATCCATACTAATAAAAGCGTCACTCCACTCACTGACCCTGGATCGTTTGATCGGGATGTTCCCATTTTTGGCATGAGGGATCCTGGGGGGTTGGTGACGCGTGATAAGCGGTATTTTCCCTAGAGATACATTCCACTCCGAGTTACACAGGTATGTAAAAGGATCGTACACGATTGTATAAAATAGGATGTATATTCATTAACCGGGATAAAAGGGAAGATATCGCTCTTTGTTTATCCATCATCGATATATCGTTTGATATAAAGCTGACCAAATATACCAATCTAATAAACATTCCCATCTTAATCTAATCATATGTTACCCTGATTTTTGTAAAAACATCAGTGAAGGTTGCCAATTGTTTTCTACTGTGAACGGTAGAAATAATCTGACAAAAATTGATTCATAATACATCTTGTAAGCCCAAGATTATTTGGTTATTGAGATATAAAAGAAAAATTAAATGGTATGTTGATCTATTTTTTTTCCTGAAAAATCTTTGTTGTAATGTAAATTTCTCCTCTGTAAATCCCCAGCGTATTTCCAGATTCGACTCTCTAGGTTGTATCCCTTTTCATGTCCTCACACTGTCAATAAAAATAAATTCAGGTAATTTTTGAACAACTTTTTCAGAGGCTCCCGGGCATCCTGTTAATGAGGAAATTTTCAATAATGACATGGATCACTCGATGATGGACGGACACAATCCTCCGTCCCTGCCTCCTCCAACACCACCACCAACCCCTCCGCCTATGGACCTTCCCATGAACGATTCGCCTGAAAGTTCAAAAGATTCTCAAGAAGAAACTGAGAAAGAACGCGAGTGTCGGCAGAAGTAAGTATAAAATGCTGTTTGAACTTTCAGGTGCGGGCACACTTTCTTTGATAAAACATGAATTTATTGGAAAAGCTGTATTTATTTTTCCTCCAATTTTTCAGGCAATTATGTTTGCAAGTAAATATAAAATATCTGAAACACCAAGGATAAATGTGCCTAGTTTTCTACCTAAGAAATGTCTTTATTGGAGGAAATTTAGTAGCATTTGAATGTTCCTATGGCGATTATCCAAAGCACGTCACAAGAAAATAGAATGGTTTGACTTTGACCTGAGAAACTGAGGAAGAATATTTTTGTAAACAGTTGGGTATATTTTTCCTAAAATTTGAGGATTTTTGATTGCAAACGTGCTTTTTATTGTATTTATTTTGCTTCTTTTTCCTCTGGTCAATTTTTTTTTTTTTTTTTTAATTTATTGCTACCTAATAAAGCTTTTCTTCTGTCTTTAGATTTTTGAAATTTTCTTCATAAAAACTTTGTATAATTATTAGTAATCTCCATAATATGCATGGTTTTCTTGATGAGATCAAGCATTTCTTGAAAATGATGATCAAAACACCCAGCTGTATCATAAGTGTAAAAATATTATTCTTATCTTACAGTGATGAGTTTGTTTCAAAGGATAATTTCCTTCAAAAAGTCTTTTTCAAAAAGTTAGCAACACTCGTCCTGATAAATATTTTTTTCAGTAATGGATAAATATTTCTTTTGCTGATTTTACTGTAGACTTTTTTCCTTTTGAACAACAACAGCCATTTCAGGCTTGTACCCATTGTCAGGTTTTTAAACCAAAGATGAAAATGAAAACGTAATCTCGAATTATTTTCATTTTTTGCTTAATAACATGACAATGTGCCTAAGTTCAAAGTAGCTGCAGTTATTTTTAAGGAAAAAATTTTCAGTAAAATCAGAAAGAATTTATCCATTTCTAAATCAACAGTGCCGATAAATTAGAACAAAACTTGATAGCTTTTCCCTCAAATTATGATTTTATGAGTTCCTCATTTAATCTCTTTTCAGAATACAAAAAAATTCAGAGCGAGAAAACATTGTGTCTCTAGATAGAGTACTACCAAAAGCGTGGGAACCCATCCCTCTGAACAAAGGCAATCCGATTCGGCCTTTGGCAAAACGAAGAGTATACAAGTGATTAGTCTAGTTTGGTTAGTACTACTTTTCTGAATTTCTTTTCCATTTTCCTCTCTCTGACTTGTTCTGCGTTAATTGTAATATCTGTAGGACTGTGATGTACATGACTTGAGTGCCTTTCTTATAGCTTGTAAAGGCCATTTTTTAGGAGTAAAATATAACATAAAAATTGGGTCTGGTTCATCTGTGGATTGACTGATATAATTTAACACAGGACCAACAATTTTCATAATTGTATTCTGTTTTTTAATACCCTCAAAAACACTTGCAGTATTCGAGAAATGAATAAAATTTCACAAATATCGATTGATCAAATAATCATGAGGTGGCGGGTCTTATGATTTATGAAACTCCACCAAATGAACTAATGCGCAATTGCTTGAACATTCAAGCAACGAAAATGGCTGAAATAAGCTTCTAAACAAAATTTATCAGTGTTTTTATTTAGCATTGTCACAAAAAATTTCCCGTTCTCAAGAAAAGCAAGAGTTTACTTGAATCAAATTGGGCTTTGTATGCAAGTTTTTGTAGGCTTCTTAACTAAACAGCTTTCCTTCTTCGCCCTGCGTTGTTCAAAGTGTAAACAACATCCAACTGCTAAGCCTAAGCTCCGAGATTGAGATTCGTGTGTGTTCATACTTCTGAGACTGTGAGAGTAATGTTTAGTGTGCAGTTTATCTCAAATAGATCATGGTTTTCCTATGAGTAGGAAGTTTGAATACGCATATTGAAAAACATCAATGTCTTAATAAGGAGTTATTTTTAATTATTGTTCTACTTGAAATTTTGATGACAGAAAACAAGTGTTATAATGTGCAAATTCGCAATTGTCTTTTTAGTGGTCCATTAAAAGATTAATCAGTGTAATAAGTATTTTCCTCAATGACTTCCAGCATGACAAAAAAGTGATGAGGCAACTTTCGTGCCATGATGAACCTGATTTTCACGGTGTATTGTATTGAACATTATCTAAACCAGAGAGAAATTTGCTCATTCATCTTTGTCATTTATCATAAGTTGATTCATTCTGTATTCTGCAGAGAAATAAAAAGAATAGAGGAAAGACAGATACAGAGTAAGAAATGTTTATTGTGTTAGAAATGTTCACAAAGGGTAAATACTATCTTAACAAAGGCCATGGGTTTGATCTGATGGGTTGACAGATGAAAAGACTGAAAGACGCTCCCAACAGGAAGAGAAAAATGTTAAGGAAGTGAAACCATCTCTGAAGATAAGAGTTTTAATTATCTGCAGGAAAAGCAAAAGAGACCTTCGTCCACAAGAATTCAAATTTGAGGTGCTGTTTACAAAAAGGGTCTTAGGTGCCCAGGACCCCTTATGTGGAAAACAGAGTAACTGAATCTCATAATTGATTGTTAAAAATTTCAAAACTAATAATCCTCAAAAACAGAAACAAGGAAGGAAACATGGTCAGGCCGAAAATCTTGGTTGGATCTCATTTGAATAATGGAATCCAAAACATTCTCTTAAGGTAATCGTACTCAATTTTCACTCATGCTTCGATCCTTATTCGTTACAAGTTACAGCACTCTTCCTTTTCTCTCTGATAGATTTAAAAAAATCACTTTAATTTGTCTGTCAGGAGTGTCTGCAAGAATTGATGGAATATGATTCGGAAGTTAGGGTAGCGAGTTCGTGAAAAGTCATTGAAAATCTGAAAAGGTCGGGAATTTTGCTGCGGACCCTTGATTTCTTTCTTTTGATCGCAACATTTAACTATTCTCTATCACAACCACAAGCTCCATTACGGAAATTAGAACTTTGGCCTTTAAGTGCTTGAATTTTGAATTTTTTCAAGTTTCGAAAACTTAGGGAGAGAAACCTTCTGTTTAAAGCATTCTTTTAAAAAATTTCAGAAATAAAAGCATTGAAAACGCCTGAAAAAGTCTGGGAATGTAACACCCATGTAATTGAAGAGCTTGTGCATTTTTATACCTTTTTAAATATTAATTTAACTATTTTGTCTTTGTATCTGTTTTAGGAATGTTAGATGCTGCTTCAGAGTATGAAGGAGGTGAGTTTTTTCTTTTGTTGACCATTTTTCCAAACACGGATCAAGTTTGAAAGATGATTTTTCTTTTCCTGGACATCAGAACGTAACTGTATTCCAAGGTGGCGAAATTGGCATTGGTTTGCCAAGGCATTGGTTCGTTTTCTTTTAAAGAAAGAAGATAGGGACAGAGATTGTGAAACATTGCCAAGAAGATATGCATTTTTGCAGTTTCACTGTTGATAAGTACTGAAAATACTGCGGCTAGTAATATGCAAACAACCACTTCTACTGTTTTACTTGACATATTTACCAAGTTTGAAATTTATATTTGTTTTTTTTTCAGTTTCATCACAAAAGGTTTGCTCTATCACTCCAAGTAGAACACAAGCAGTTTTTGGTCAAGGTGCTAATCCCTCTGCATGTATTCTGTGTCTGCAATTGTACCATGCCTAAGTTTTGTCCTATGTCGTCCACTTTTTGGAGGAGCCTCCAAGCTTAACTTAGTTTGTCATCAGAGGACTCATGAAATGCTGTTCCAAAACGTCGAGTTGTAAAGAGGTGAGTTACTGAACTAGTACATGTTTCTTTGAACTATTATAACAGGGTTTCTGGTGGTCTGTGGAACCTGGAAAGTCAGAGACTTCATGGGGAGCCTAGACAGTCAAGGAACTGAAGATTGTGAACGTTAAGTCCATCCATTATGTACATTGCTCATTCGTAAAACTGAATTCCATTTTTCTGCTCTATGAAAAGAATATTCTGGGAGAAATTCAAGCCAGTGTTCGTTCCGTCTCCTTTCAAAATATAAAATAGGGGCAGAGATTTTAAAACACCGCAACTGCATCTTTACTTTTGATTCGCAAATAAAACACTGTAGCAAGGAATGTGTTAACAATTACACTCTGCTTTGCTGTGTTAAGGATAGAAGCTGTATGAACGTTCACACTTTACCAAATCTCTTTCAATCAAGAAGTAATTTTTGAGGTAATTAGGGAATTTTTTCCCTCAAAATTTTCTATCCAACTAATAATTTTATCTGAAATTGCGAATCATCTTCTCTGAAATTTGGAGGGGGTATGTTTACGAATTTCCCTTAAAATTCTCGCTTTTATCACGATAGATTGGACAACATATGAATGCTGAGAAGGCGTTCTTCTTTACCACAGAAGTAATCTGCTGTATTTATCTGGCTTGAAATTCATAATGTTTTGGTTTTCAGCGGGCATCATTATAGTGGGTTTCCTCTACCATTCAATGTAGAACACAAGTGTTCTTGTTCAAGGTGCTAATTCCTGCACCTAAAGCTAAGTATTGGCGGTTATACCATGCCCAACTACCTCACTGTGTTTTCTAGTTTTTGGAGGAGGATCCAACCTTGCTGAACCTGTTGTTAGAGGACTGTGAGAGCACTGGCACTAAACATCTAGTCAGAAAGTGGTGAATAATTGGTCTTGTATACGTATTTTGTAATCCTCAAAGGGTTTCTGATGAGCTGCAAAACCTTCAAAAGTCAAGGAATCAATGCTGGCTTAGAAAAGTCAGGAAACTTGAGGTTCTGAACTCGTGGTCTAGCTAATATTTACAGTTATTCCAACGCTCTTTTCGACGGATTTTTTTTAAAAATTTTAAACCACGATGTTGGTTTGGTATCTTTTCAAAGAAATAAAATAGGAGCAGAGATTTTTGAAGCAATACAACCGATATACGCTTTTTGCAGTTTCACCATCGCTATGTATTTAAAACATTGTGGTAGGCAACTTATTAACCATAACTTTTACTACTGTACTGTTTTCTTCCAGCTTGAAATTTGCATTGTTTTATTTTTCAGGAGGTTTCATTGGATTTTCTCTACAACGCCAAGTTGAACACAAGCAGTTCTTGGTCATGTTCAAGGTGGTAATTCCTCTACATAGTGCCTACAAGTGTTGGCGGCTATAGCATCCCTAACTTGCTTACTGTGTTTTCTATTTTTTGAAGACTGATTTGCTTTTAACTCAGCCAGTTGTCAGAGGACTGTTTAAATACTGACCCAGAACATCCAGTTGCAAAGAGGTGAGTTCTTGGTCTGTACCTATATTTTATAATCTTTACAAAATTTCCAGTGGTCTGCAGAACCGGGAAAGTGAAGTTAGGGTTTAATTGATGTTTATACAGGTTGAGTCGAAATCTGTATTAAAGTGTGATGTCAATCCTAATAGATGAGATGTTTCAAAGGAGAAGAATGATTCTCCTTTCTCATGGCAAGCTAAAAACCTTAATTGTTTAATCATTTACACTTAGTTTGCATCTGACTACAGTTTTGAATATGGCAATCATTTATTGAGTCTTAAGCCAAGCCACAGTGTGATTGAGTACATTAGAAACTGACTGACATTTGTATGAAGCACTTCCTATTTTCGACTTCCACCACCACCCAGTCCATCCAACAAAGAGTCAATGCAAAAGCAGTGAGAATGAAAAATTGGAAAAAATTAAAATGTTCTGGAGACGCCAAGAACTGCACAGTAGGTGAAATGGTCTGGTGTAAAAAAGCTTTTTAGTGCCAAAAAAGGTGTATGGAAAGACACTCAAAACGCTAAATTGCAGTGGATGCACTGTAAATACACATGGATGCGCTACTGTGCAGTTTAATGAGTCCCCTGAACATTGACATTTTTGTAAGTTGGCATTTTCTCATCCTCACTGATTCAATTACAGCCCTCAAAGCAAACATAGAGACAGTATTTTGAAGTGTACATGTTTACTTAGAAAGAAAATGTTGCTGGGTTAAAGGAGAATTTTTCCATTACAATTTTTTATTTAATCATTAGCCTAGTTTTGCGAAATTATAACAGGAAAGTACTTTTTTTATCTAACTATAGGAAGCTCTGCCAGGGCCAGCAAAAAGGAAAGTAACACCAAAAGATCCAAAATGGTGCGGTTATACCGTTCCAGAAATTTGTACCCCACAGAGCTCTCATTGATCGAGGCTTGTAGCCATCTACCACATACTCCCTCTAACTTTGAACGATTGGCCAGTGCATCTTGTCCCTGTATCAGTACACGCTGGAAAAATCAATGTAATAGGCCTTAATGATTTGATTGATTCTACAATTAAAGCAGTACATTTCAGAATTCAGCTTTTACTCAGTTTCAATTTAAAAGTTTCTCAGCAATTCTAATTATTTCTATTTCTGTATATTCCAGATGGTCGAAGAAAATTTGAATTCCCAAATAAATTGGGAAGGATTGTTGGCTAGTGGAGTGCCAATCAGCTTTGACGTGAACGTCATGGATCATGTACCTGATGGTAATGACACCTACGTGCTTGTAGATACCTCTGATTCTTNATTTATTGAGTCTTAAAAAGCCAAGCCACAGTGTCTTTAAGCACATTAGAAACTGACGGACGTTTGTATGAAGCACTTCCTATTTTCGACTTCCACCACCACCCAGTCCATCCAACAAAGAGTCAATGCAAGAACTTGCAATCTGCACTGTCCAAAAAGGATGGATAGATCACTTCTAATTAAAGTAGTGAGAATGAAAAATTGGAAAAAATTAAAATGTTCAGGAGACGCCATAAACTGCACAGTAGGTGAAATGGTCTGGTGTAAAAAAGCCTTTTAGTGCCAAAAAAGGTGTATGGAAAGGCACTCAAAACGCTAAATTGCAGTGGATGCACTGTAAATACACATGGATGCGCTACTGTGCAGTTTAATGAGTCCCCTGAACATTGACATTTTTGTAAGTTGGCATTTTCTCATCGTCACTGATTCAATTACAGCCCTCAAAGCAAACATAGAGACAGTATTTTGAAGTGTACATGTTTACTTAGAAAGAAAATGTTGCTGGGTTAAAGGAGAATTTTTCCATTACAATTTTTTATTTAATCATTAGCCTAGTTTTGCGAAATTATAACAGGAAAGTACTTTTTTTATCTAACTATAGGAAGCTCTGCCAGGGCCAGCAAAAAGGAAAGTAACACCAAAAGATCCAAAATGGTGCGGTTATACCGTTCCAGAAATTTGTACCCCACAGAGCTCTCATTGATCGAGGCTTGTAGCCATCTACCACATACTCCCTCTAACTTTGAACGATTGGCCAGTGCATCTTGTCCCTGTATCAGTACACGCTGGAAAAATCAATGTAATAGGCCTTAATGATTTGATTGATTCTACAATTAAAGCAGTACATTTCAGAATTCAGCTTTTACTCAGTTTCAATTTAAAAGTTTCTCAGCAATTCTAATTATTTCTATTTCTGTATATTCCAGATGGTCGAAGAAAATTTGAATTCCCAAATAAATTGGGAAGGATTGTTGGCTAGTGGAGTGCCAATCAGCTTTGACGTGAACGTCATGGATCATGTACCTGATGGTAATGACACCTACGTGCTTGTAGATACCTCTGATTCTTCTTCGCTTCAAAATTTTCCGCAAGAGTTGTTATATCATTATACCGTAAACAAGTTGCTATAGTTAAGCCGAAGCGTCAAGATTGTGATTGTCAGATTTTCATGGTAAAACTTGGTGTGCAATTTGATTCATGCAGACTATTGTGTCTTCATGTGCGGAAGGTTGGAATGCTTGCGTCAAGAAACATTAAATCTCTTACTTCGGAGTTGGTTTCAGTAATTTTCATTGCACAAATCGTGTTTGACATGAAATTTTGGTTAGAAAACAAGTATCAGAATGCTTAACTTCGTACCTTGTCTACCTTGTGGTATCTAGTGATCCATTACAAGGGTGAATTAGGAAAATTGCAGTTAAGGCTTGCCTCCTCTTTGTTAACTGATGGGTATCTAAAATTAAATGGTAAAAAATAAAAAATAAAAAAAACATTAAATTGACAGTAACAGTTGCGCATCAACTTCAAACTTTTTTCAATCCTAAGATTAGTGTAATGACATGAAAATCCTAAAATCAGCAGTGTGCACAAATACTTCTAATTTTGATCCAAAAATCAACTTGAGCTTGATCTCACTCACTTGCTGCAGATTTTCTTGGGGTTGAGTTGAGCTGGTTCTTCCTTGCTTGGAGGTACTCGCAGAGTTCTGATGACGATTATTAAAACTGTTTCGCTGTTTGCTGGAGTTGGGTCTGGGCTGATATTTGATGTAATGGACCTGATTCCCATTGGACACTTCATTTTGCTCTTTGCTTCCCAGTTTCCACAGAAAGACAAATCTTGACTACCTTGTCTAAATCAAACTCTTCACCGAGGAGCCTTTCTTGCACCATTTTGTTGTTGATCCCAACAACTAATCTATCACGAATGAGTTCCGCTTTCAGAGTTCCAAAGTCACAATCATCGGATAACTTCTTAACCGAGAGAAAGAAGGCCTCGAATTCCTCCGATTCCTGCTGACAACGGGAGTTAAACAGAAACCGCGAATAAACAAGGTTTTTCTTAGGTTTGATGTAAGAGTCTATTGCTTGAATGATGTTTGAAACTTTCGAACTTTGTGCTTCGGATAAATTTAACGTGTTTAGCAATTCACAAGCCTCCTCACCAACGATATTCTTAAAGATAGCGACCTGGACCGCATCACTTTTCGCGTCTAATTCGTACCCGATAGAATAGTTCTTGTAACTTTCTTTGAACCGTTTCCAATTTTCGCTAAGAGATCCCGATAGTTCTAGAGGTGATGGCACTCTCAACTCCATTGTTAAAATTACCAAACAAGAGCACACATATAATGGAACAAAAGAACAAAAATCGAAATGAGGCTAAAATTGATTAAAACTGGTTATTTAAAACTTCATGATCGAATCATGATTTCGAATGACTAGATTTCGCGAGACTTACGAGTCTAGTTACGGTTTTAGAAGCGATGCATGGCGTGCTGGCACAGTTGATGGCTGTCACTTATCCTTCTTGATCCTCGTTGCCATGTTTGTAGGTGTGAAGGTGGTGGGCTGGAAAGCAAGACTACAAAGCCATTATCACGCTTGAACACTTTTATTTAACGAAAGTGACACACAACCATCAAAGATATCAAAAGACCAAAAAGACACGCAATACAAGGTTCATACCGCCATGATGGTCGGCTCACGAATGAGGGTTGTTGTCATCGATGGCTGGTGAGCCACCGACAACCCCAACAAAAATTATTCAGATAAATACTATGAACCAACATATAGTCCAGTCAATCTACGATTTTACCTTGCAAATTTTGCGAAAAACTTTCTGACACATGTTTCCTATGTGTTTTTTAGCGCTGAATCCGAATCTGAACTTTGCTACCTTCGATTTTTGCCGCTAAAGCCGCCATCTTGAAAAAACGTTGCCAAATCTCATTTTTTGTCCAAAAATCGGTAATAACTCGTTCCCTGTGCGTCGGACGGCAAAATGAGTTATTTGCAGAATGAAAGTACATAAAATTTTGGTGTAGAATCATGTATCAAAATTATGATAACATGCGTATACCATCCGCCAGAGCGCGCTGAAAATAGCGGGAAATTTGAAAAAATCGCAATTTTTTGCGGTTTTCTCAAATATCTTTTTTCTTAGCGGTTTTTCGGGAAAAATGGTTACCACAGAAATTAAAGTAGACAAAAAATGCTACCAGAATCACTCTTAGTTTTTACACTAGCGATACTTTTAACGGGAACTAGGAGCGCTTGAAGTCGGAGACTCGCACGGCCGAAATCGGCTGTAGCGCCGCATCACGGTTCTACCTTATAAGGACCGTTTTATGGTTTCCCTAACGTTTAATTTTGCTTTAAGGCATTACATCTCGCTTATAATTAGTAAAATTACAGATTTCACCCCTTTTGGCATCCCTTCTCCCAGCCCCCACCCCTCCCCCCACGCTCCCTCAAAGAACAGCGTACAATCATTTCCACTGCATTTTTATCCGACGAAACGCTATTTTGCAGTTTTAGTAGTTTTAAAATGTCAGAATATCACTATTGAGCCCATCTCTCCGTCCTTCATTTCCTCCATACCTCGTACTATTATAATAAGGCAGTTTTCATTCGCTAAATCTTCATGAACCTGGAGGAAGAAAGAGGTAAAAGTTACCCCAACGGTAATTTGAGCTGACCAAAAAGTATGCGCATTCAA